TCTTTCCTCTCTCATCACCGCCCTCTTTCCGCTTCCATCTACTTTCCGCGTTTCTTCCCTCTTCTTATTCGCTCGCTTATCGACTACCTCGACCGCTTTTACCTCTCCATCGATTCGCGTCCAATCATTCTCTCTCTCTCTCTCTCTCTCTCTCGTCCTGGCCGACGGATTTTGTTGGGGGAAAAACGGTACGTCCGAGTCCGTGGCCGCGTCGAGTATCCGCGTTCGAGGGAATAATTGGACGAGATCAACTGAAACCGAGTTACAGCCGGAATAATTACGTCGGAGAATCGAGCAGGGATGACTCGATTCTCCCTATTTCCGTAACGCCTCGCAGCAACGGAGCCAGAGGGCGCGAGAGCGAGAAGGAGAAAGGTGGTGGGCGCGAGAGAGGCAGAGGAATATTTGAAAAGCGGAAAACGCGGCACGTTACAAGGAGAATGGCGATTATCGTCGGGTTGAGAAATCGGTGACAAATGACGGACGTTATCCGGTCCGGTCTCGTAACTCGTCGCCCCAACGTCCCGCGACGACCCGCGCCGTCGCGTTAACGATAAATCGCCATCCCGATAATTAATATCCCGCCTTTGGTCGTATCGTCCGATTATAAATAGCGGCAGGGTATAACGTAGGAAGGCGGGGGTACGTTGCGTGTCTACCGAGAGACGAACCACCACCGTGTTTTTCGTTTAGCTTTCGATCGTTGCAATCGTCGATACGATACCAACGCGAAGCTGTCGCGAAGCGTAAACGTATTCCCGATCGATGGATGGAGGGCAGGCGGAGGAGGAAGGGCCTAGGATCGAGGGATTAATTTTCACGGTGAAAAGTTGCCGAGTAAATGCTAAGAGTCAACGTTACGGCAAGTTTGGCGGTAATGGATTCGCGATGCGGTCCGAGGCTGGCCGATACGTTCGATTTCTCTTGGTATTTGCTCGGCAAAGACCGTAATCCGTGAAAATATTGGCTCCCGTGTCCACGGTTATACTCGCATCCGACTGGAATCCGTTGCGTTTTCGCCGTCACGATAACCGTGCCACGGGAATTTCGTCGAAATTGGAAATCGAGTCGACGCGAATAACAAGGTTGAATCGCAAGAGGAGTGAGGAGTTATCGCGATCGTAGACGCGTCTTCGAGTAGATCGTTTTGTCGCGCGTTGCTCGTTAAGCCGCTCGACGAGAGATAATTCCATTTCGGCAGACTCGTAACTCGCGGTTTCGAGGCGGATAGACGAGCGAAACGAGCAGGAGCTTTCGACGTTGGCGAATTCTTTGGAATCCACGATTCCACGGGATTGGAATTTTGGAGGGATGATTGGCGGCGGGGGGTGGTTGACGAGACGAATGGAAGACGGTCGGCGCGTGGCGACGCGACGCGCGTAAGCAAAAGCCTCGCTTAGCTGGCGGTTTCAATTAAGTATCGAGCTTTCGCTGACGAGGCACGCGATCTTTCGTCCCCCCTCTATCTTTTCCTCGTTAACTCTTAACGACGCGTCGTTTACGCCTCGCCTCGGAATCGTCTTAAATTTCCCTCTCGCATTCCCCCGTGTTTCCGACCTGTTCTACGCAGGGGGAAAGTTACAAATTTTCCTCGGAAGACGGAGGGTGCCATTGTTTGGAATATGATCGCGCGAGGAGAGACGATCTAACGGAGCGGAGAGAGATGCACGGACGAGAATAGATTTGGCGGTGACCGCGTATCCGCGCGTATCATCGTCGTTGTTGCTTTTGCGCAAGGCGCGTGGTTGGTTAACGAGAGGAATTAAGGGTAGAACGAGTGAAAATTTCCACCTCGATTCGGGGAGGGGTGGGTAGTATTTTCGTGCGCGCGGATCGAGAGCGCAGAGAGACGGGTATCGGCGAGAGGAAACGGCGAGAAGAATCGGCGGGTGCGAGGTTGGACGGGTATCGATGGCCGTTTGTCTGGCAAACGAAGCGGTCCAAGGGAATGACATTTAGGGTGGCGTCGTGGCGCCATGCGAACCGAGAATGTCCCGCGTGCTCTTCTTCCGCGTCTGGTTGACGGTGCGAAAGATTTTCATTGAGCATCGCCGTCGACGTCGTCAAAGGTCGTCTCGGTATAAATAACCCTGGCGGCGCCGTTGTTGGCTCGTTCCCGTTTCTCTGCTTCGTCGGTCAATTCTTTACCCGTTACGCGTTTCGCCGTGTTTCGTCGCTACGCGAAATTCTCCTTCCGAAATTCTCGATACTCGCGATAAAACGATCGTCTATCGTCTACGGTCGCGACGCGTTTCCAAAAAAATCGCCAGCATCTCCACGCTACTTTTTCCTTCCGGAGCATCGCGTGCGCGGAACGAGGCGAAGCGAACGGGAAAACCCCGAGGGACGCGGGCGTAGCGAGAGGAAAAAGCGTATTTCGTTTGCAACGTCGACCGCGTATACGAGATGGCAGAGGGTGGGGAAGGACATAGTTTTCCGCGAATTACACGCGGGTCCGAACAGCCCTGACGCATACGCGCGAAAGGTCTGCAGGCTGGACGAAACGGCGTAGCCGTGGCGAGTCGGATCAGGAAAAGCGACGCTCGCGCAGACTACGAACCCTCGGAGAAACTAACGAAAGGTTTACCTGTGTTTCAGCGATCCCTGGGAGTGCCCTAGACAAGTGGTTGTCGTGGTTGGCGTTGTTACCGTTGTCGTCGCCGTCGTCGTCTTTGCCGTCGTCGTCGCCGCCGCCGTCGCCGCCACCGCCGTCGCTCTCGTCGTCGCCGTCGTCGTCACCGCCACCGTCACCGCCGCCGTCGCCACCGCCGCCACCGTCGTCGTCGTCTTCTTCTTCTTCGTCCTCACCGCCCTCGTCGTCGTCCTCGTCGCCCCCGTCGTCTTCTTCGTCGTCGTCGTCGCCGCCGCCGCCGTCGCCGCCGCTGCTGCTGTCGTCGTTCTTGTCGTCGTCGTAGTCAACGTCGTTGCCGCTGTCGTCGTCCTCGTCATCGTTGCCGTCGCCGTCGTCGTCGTCGTGCATTCATCGTCAACGTCGCGGGGGTTGTTACAGGGTAAGCAAACGGATACTTTTTGTTACCTCTTAGCAGCCGGTTCACTCGATTCCCTTTCATTTAGCCCGCGATAAACCTGGACGCGTAGCTCGTTGGCAAATTCGAAAGCACGTTCGAATCGTTTTCCTTCTCCGATTTTTCCACTCGCGAAAGCGACGCGATCGCTCTGGACGTTTCGCGATCGGCGGAAAACGGAGCGACGAGACGCGGATGATAATGCTCGATCCGGTGGAGATTCCAATCGGGTTCCGCTCGCGGCTGTGTCGCGTTTGAAACGCGTATCATGCCGCGCCTTTTGTGCTCGGCTTTTCGTTTAAGCCCTCCTCGCGTATCGTCGGTGACACGCGTAGTACGTGCAAGGTAAACGTTCGTTTTACGCCGCCTCGCGCGATTATACGCCTTTGTTTTTCCACCTACGCCTCCGATTTCCTTATTTTCGCTTGCACGCGTTTACCCGCGCGTTATACCCGTACGCGACGGCGCGACTAGAAATTTATCGCTACACCGGATTCCGCGTTTTCCACTCGCGCGTAGGTCGAGGAAAAGTTTATCTCGAAGATTTCACGGGCCCGGCACGGCGAGAAATCGACTCGAGTACGCTTACTCGGGATTACTCGTAGGCCCAAGTGTGCCCGAGTTACCGGCCAAGCGTGGCGGATTATTTTTACCCCCTAACGTACCTCGCAAAGACAGAATCGACCAAGTAAGATCGCGTAGACTCGTCTCGGTGCCGCCGGTATCGCGGCGTAAATTTTCCGGGGGCTAAAAAGGTCGGGAGTAAGTCTCCGGCGAATAATACCACCTTTCGGCGAGGCATAATCGTAAACGATATTACTCGAGGGGAAGAAAACTAGGCAGAAGCGACGGGCATGCACTCGCGGTGGCCCTTTTCGGTGTTCTCCGGAGTGGTTGCTCGGGTTAACGGATTTTCTCTTGGGCTCGTTCCGTCACGCGGAAACAGTCCTTTCCGCCCCGTGTTTCTTTCACCCTCCGTTTCGAGTAGCACGAGCCGTTCGTCGACTTGACCCCGCGGTATTCCCTCGTTTTCCTACACACCGCGTGTTCCGCGATCGTACGCCCGGTATCCCGTTCGTCGCGCGACAAATTGGATCTCTTCGCGTTTATTATTATTTTTATTCGCGTCACCGACCGCGGGAACGGCTTTTCCTCGGGTTAAGCGGAATTTCTTACTCCGACGGAAAGGTCGAAATCCGTGCGTCGTCGTTGTCGCGATTCTTTTAACCGTGGTCGAGTCGAAAGGGTCGTCGCCGTTTTACGACGGTCGCTTTGAGGCTCGAGGTTCCACCGAAAGGCCGCCCCTCCTCGCGTCTTTAACCGCGATTCTGGTCGGCGGGGAAAATTGTTCGGTTCGAATGGCTCGAGTGAAGCTTTCCTTGCATCTCTCGGTACTTCCGAGTCTCATAGAGTCTTATAAATTAGGCGATTCGGGCACGAGCGCAAAGACTTTTCGCGGTGAAGCACGATGTCGGCGTCAACGTCGAGGATGGTTCGAGGCCGGTAAGCGTCCGTGAATAATCGAGCGCGTCTCGCGTTAGTCGCGACTGCCCTTATCTGCCTCTCGTTTATACAGCGGCGTACGTCTTACTCGTGCCTCCTGAAAAAGCTACCTCTGCTTTTCCGCCGGGAAAATTTATGCTCGTCGCGGTGCCGTAACGTTTCCGCGACCATTACGACGCGATCGCTCGAAATACGCGGTCAGAGTTGTCGCCACCGCCGCCGCTCTCGAGCTCGTAATCTCCGAGCGATAAGTTTCGCTTCCTCGAAATACACCCGCGATTCGAGCTTTTTTCCCCGTTTTCCATCCGCGCGTTGTACTTTACAGAAGCGTATCTCCGACGAGAGGACGAAAGGAGAAACGGGACGAGCGGTAGCGAGTTAATCCTGTTTTAGGTCGGACGTAAAGAAGGTTAAGCCGGCTGGACGATCGCTGGCAAATTCGACTCGAGCGTGTTTCGATCGCTTGGCTGTGCGTTTCGCTTCGCTCCTTTGCCGCGGAAGCCGACGGAACGCGGCTGCAGATTTAATCGAAACATTCCTCGAGCGTTAAAGGCTGATAACTCGGAGGGTTACGGAGCGCGAGATTGCCTCTCGTCGGATAGGATTCGATAGACGCGACGACGCGTTCGCCAACGGGGTGGTCGGTGTCGGTTGTTGGCCGCCGATAAATCGGACTTTGCTCGTTTCGTCGCGGCGCGTAAACTCGGTCCGAGTGTACGGAAGATAAGGGGAACGCGGATGAGATGGGAGCGTCGGGGGTAGAGGGAACCGCGAGACGACGACGCCGACGTCGCCGCGGGAAAGGGATTCGACTCGGGAAGCGGCTGGAAACTTTTCCGTTTATCGAAACGACTGGGCCGCAGGCGTGAGCCGAGTTTACGATATTGGACGAGAGAAAAGGGTGACGCGTGGTGGGTTTAGGAGCGTGCCATCTCGTCGGAGGATCGCGAGAAGCTCGAGAGAAAGAGGCGTAACGCGACGGAATTTACATTCCCGCTCGTATGGTTGCGCGAGCCGTTACGATTCACGGAAAGTCGTTAGTCGGATAGCGAGATGGGAACCTTTCTCGCCACCCCCGTCCTCGCTCCTCTGAAACGCGCGTCGTTATCGCGCCGCGTAGCCGCGAGGATCGCCCAGGGAACCGAGACGATACGTTTGAAAAACGGTCCCGGGAGGGGTTTAATAGGACAGGGTGCACTCGCGGAAGCGTGACCCTCCGAGATTAGGCGATTCGGTTGCGTCTCTTCTCGCGGAAAACGCGCGAGTTTTTGCCTCGGAGATGGTCGTTTCCGCTACTCTCTCCGCCGTGCAGCATCGACTGCGTCGTCTACGCGGCCGAATTTTCCCCAATTCCCACGCGGCGCCCTGTATCGATTTTACGTTCGCGTAGCCAGTTTTGACGACGGTATCCGGTTCGCCGTGCTCGCGGAGAAAGGTGAGCGTGCCGCTAAAATAGCCGTTTCCTCGGTGGCTAGCGAGCGAATGGAAAAGGATCGGGTCGGCGGTGCGGATAAACAGAGGCGAGGGAGGTTCTCTCCCCGATGTCGGTTCCCATCGTGCTCGTCTTTCCGTCGACGCGACGTCGGGGATGAAAGGCCGGCCGACGTTTCGACGGCGTCGGGTAACGTAACCGCAAAGACGACGGAGGAAACACGGGCGAGGGTGGTCCGTTCGTTAATCGGCGAGCTTCGGGGTACGTTCCGTTTCGTTCGTAACGTCGTTACGCCGAGTTAACGCGATCGATCGACGTTGATCTCGATTTGTCGTTGTTACGTAAATTCCTCGTGCACCGGCAATGCTGATCGTTCCTTTCCGATACGATCGTGGAATCGGCAACCGCGTCGAAACGTCGGATTAAATCCGATACCTGCCTCCTCTCCGCGGTGGTTCGGAGCGATTAGCTGAAAACCGTAATCGTCGAACGAGCGAGTAGCACGCTCGATCTCGAAACCCGTCGCCCCCGTACGCGATCCGGCAGAGCGTACCAACGTTTCGCCGTTTTCGATTTTCACGCCGAACCAGATTCGTCGCGCAAGCTCGAAGCTTTCTCGTATCGCTATAAATAAGCGGGATCGATAGCCGTGGGCTAGAGGGAGGAGGTAACGGTCGTCGGTAATCATTTTATGCCGACGACGAAAGCGCCGTTGCGAGAAACCACTCTCTCTCTCTCTCTCTCTCTCTGAAATCGTTTTATCTGTCGCGTGGATCGCGTATAGATCCGGCGTCGGTTCGAAGCGGGACTTGGTTTTCCGTCCCTGCCATCTCCGTGGGATTTCGCGAGTATTTTCGCGTAGGAGCGAGCGGGGATAAGGCTCGGAGAGATAGAAAAGCGAACGATTGACGCGTCGGACCTCCTCGGAGGCAACGAACGATCCGAGATCGGTGGGGCCTTTGGAACGAATGGCGGAAGACGAACGGGCAAAGGTAGTTGGCGCGTGGTTTGGGGAAATCGTTACTCGTTCGGTGCGCAGCGTTAATACCCCGATAATTCATTCTAAATCCGGCAAACGAAGCGTCCCGAGTACTCCCGCGTCGGTTCGCAAAGCGTTCCGAGAAACGAGCGCCAGCTCCGCTTCTACGCGTCCGCCGCTTTCAAGTGCCACCACCGCGAGAGATATTTGGCCAAAGAAGACACGGCCCCTCGGTCTCGTTTCTCTCTTCTCTCGTTCCGCCTGTCCCCGGTGTCGCGATGCGCCGGAGCACGCGTGGCACGCGCGTCCCTCGTTTCCCGCTTCGTCGGCAACGCGCACACCCGGTTCGAGAACGAGTTCGTCGACGCCACGAGACCGCCGTATCGAAACGCGGGGACGTCCGGGGACTGCTCGCGAGCGGGACTTATTATCCGATCGATACCACCCCGCCCGTGATCGATTCTCGGTCGAGGACGATCGATCGGCGGATACGCGACCACGCTATTTCTTTCCCGTATCGTCGCGTCGACTCGACGTCGAGTAGCGCACGAGTGACACGGTCCATCGATATTCCGAACGAGCCCGAGCGAAATAACGTTGAAACGTCGAAGAGGAAGCGGCGGGGCATCCTCGTTCGAGGAGAGGGAAAGGTCCCGGTGGAATTTTAGCTGGGCTTAAATCTCGCCGTCGGGTCGCCACCCTTAATTCCGGCGTAGCCGTCGAATTCTTTACCGCTCGATCGATCGGTTCTCCTCCCTCTTCCCTCTTCCCTCTTCCCTCTTCCCCCTGTCCGACCACCGCGAACCGCGGCTTCTTTTTTCTTTCCTTTTTCTTTTTTCGCGCCACTGCGAGAGATCGGTGGTGCGGCGATGTTGCCTCGCGAACGTTACCGAGCGTTCCAGAAGAGGAGAGACAAAGGCGCCATCGGTAACGGAGGGTATCGAAATTCGATAGCAAGACGAGGATGCACCGACTGCGGTGGTTTCGCG